ACGGTCATCACGCAGAGGATCCAGGGCTGCAGACACCCGTCTCCAGCCGCAAAGGCCGGGTGCTGCCAGCCGCGTGCCAGGGTGGCCGGCTGTGCTGCCGGAGGGTCTCGGGCACCACCTGCCCCGGGAGCCTGCCCTGGTCCCTGCTCCCAGCCTGGCGGCAGTGGGTAGCACACACGCCCCAGCCATCCCCGGAGCACACACTGCATGGCAGATACCATAGACAGCACCTCGACGGACACCCAAGGTCACCAGGGACCGGTGTCCTTCGCTTGTCAGCTTCACGAAGCATCTGTGCCCACAGCCACACCAGGTTATGAGCTGGATTTTGTGCTACTGAAGGGAAGGTTAGAACAAATTGCAGCATTTACAAACAAGGTCACGGAAGACAGAGCAAGAACACACCTCATTAATATTGAAGGCTTGGCGCCCTGCGTGGATTTACCTCCCTGCATTTCTCCCAGCACCTTGGCAGGGGAAGCCTTCCCGGGACCTGAGTGAGGGTCTGTGCAGCACCCGAGCCCACCCAGAGGAGGGCAGGGCAGGACCGCTGCCCCAGGCAGACGTAGGCAAGGCAGTGACCAGGGAACACGCTGCCTGTAGGGCAGCTCCTCACACAGAAGTCTCTGCAGGAGGTTTCGTACCCATTCCTCAGAGCCAGGGCACTCTCTGAAGTCAAGGAAATTTCAAAGCATCCTTGAAGCTTGCTGCCTTCCTCTCTTCTCACTAATTAACTTTAGGAAAATGCACTGTCAGTCAAGCCCACAAAACAGTCCGTGTCGTTGGGCAAAGCCTAATGGGCTCCCATTTGTGCGTGAGCCAACCTGGCCATTAGCAGAGAGCAATTAGCGAGGCGGAGAGCAGAAGCCGGGTTTGCACGCTCCCTCCTCTCCCTCCCACAGGCAGAGGGACGGGGGGGACAGCGAGGCGATGCTCCCCGGTTGGCGGGGTCTGGGCCCCCGGGGCAGCCACAGTGCCCACCGCTCAGAGGCCAGCAGTGCTCCTCGTGCTGCCGCAGCCCCAGGAGCACCCTGAAACCAAAGGCGGCGCGGGGAGGGGGACACGGGGCAGAGCCCCAGCAGCGCAGGTGCTCCTGGGGACCTGTCGCACCGGCACACGGGGAAGCCTGGGCTTGGCCCAAGCGCGGTCCCTGGGACAGGATTCAGGCAGGTGGGTCCGCATGGGAGCCAGACGGAGCTCTCCCCTGCGCCCGCGCCTGCCTCCTGGCCCAGCTCCGGCAGACAGAGGCACAGCGGAGCCTGCGAGGCAGGAGCCGGCCTCAGCCTGCCGCTGGACCTGCTAGGAAAAGCCCCTCTCTGTGAAAATAACGCTGCAGCATCTGACAGGGTTACTCAGGAATTCTAGGGAGGAAAACTGCACCCTGAGATGCTGTAATTAGAGTCACTGCTCAAAGTTAACCACAAATTAAACGACACTGTCTTCCCTGTGTTCTGGAAAATATTGAAGGTTATTGGCACACTCTACCTGCAGTAGGAAAAAGCTCTATATTGAACATTTAGTCCAGGATTGGTAATGAATCGATATTCCCCAGTAGCTGGCTGTTTGGTTTCAGTTGTCTTAAAACAGATCTTTCTAAAAATACCTTTCCTGTAGTGTATCTGTAGCTAATGAGGTGGATTAGAGAGGCTGATGGGAACTGGGCACGGCACGGGTGTTTTGGGTCTGAAGTCAGTGAGCAGGCAGCTCCTGGGCGGTGGTCTGGCACGGGGGATAAGCAGAGGGGTCTGGCTCTGCCTGGCGTGCTCTCTCCCAGAGCAGAGGGAGCCAAGGCTGCCTGGGGCGATGGCAGGAGCTAAGACAGGAGGCACCAACAAAAACAGCAGCTGTGAGCAAGCACGACATTTGGAGCCGGCAAGGACAGGCGGATCAGGAGATGTCCCCTCCCGCTGGTTCTGCCACCTCCACGTCAGACCAACTCCGGGGCAGGGGAAAATGTGGAAAAACAGGAACTGATGTTTTCAGAGCATCAGAGGAGCTCAGCTCTCGTGCTGCTCTCAACTGCATTGAAGACCTACTTGGTCCCTCTGCTCAGCTCCCCACTGGGGCACAAAATAGGAAGGATGGAGCTGGACCGGGCGCTCAGCCATCACAGCAGCCAGGGGCTCCTGCAGGCGAAGTCCCTGCTCACGATGGGGAAAGCCTTTGCCTTTCAAGGGGTCTGTGCTCCAGGCTACCTGCAGAGACCCCACCGCACCGCAGTGCTCCCCAAGCACGGGAACATCACCTCTCCCCAGCTGGCAGCTGGGGACAGCCTCCAGGCAGGCCAGGAGCAGCCTCCCCACCCTGGGGTCCCGGTGGGGCAGCCCTTCACAGCCAGCAGTTCCCAGGGTCAGCTCTGCCCTTCCCCGGGACATGGCCGTTGGCAGGACCCTGCTCTCCCGCTCCCCGGCCTCTTGGCAGAGTGACAGGAGCTCATCACGCTGCGGGTTAGACCTGCTCCACATTTAATTGCTCCACTTGCAAGGAGGAAAATCAATTCCACGTTTGATACATTAGCGGCCTCTGTGCTTAAGTTTTGGCACATTCGTGAGGTTAAAAAGAAAAAGTAATAAAACCAGGGAAGTGTCATTTAATTGTTTTAGCTGAACTAATTTGGAGGCTCCGCTGCTCCGGCGTGATCTCTCCATCGATCCAGATGCAAAGCCAGGCCCTGGGCAGCAGGCTGCTCACCCGGCTGCGCTCCCATCGCTGCCCCTGCCTCGCTCAGCAGCTGCCTGTCACCACTGCCACTCACTGTCACAGGCTGCGTCCCTCCTGGTCACAGACGAGTCCCTTCACATGGAGGATCCCAGGCTGAACCACAGCTCGGGGCGGGAGATCGGCCGCTCGGCGGTGCTGAAGGGTGTGCGGGAGGGGGACACAGCTCCTGGACCAGCACCACGCCGGGTGCCCACAGGTGCCCTTACATGCCCCAGGCAGGGCCTGTCCCGGGGGCAGCCCCTTTTCTTCATTCAGACGGGCGCTGGCAAGCGCTGCCCTGGCTTCTGCAGGAGCAGTGCCCGGAGGGTCAGTCCTGTGCTGCCCGTGAGGCTCCCAGCCCCAAACTCCCCACACCGACCGTGCACATGGGAAGCGGAAAAGCCTGGAGAGCTCACAGGGCCAAGGACTGTGTGGGGGGACCCCAGCTCAGGATCAGGGGGGCTGCTTGCCAGCCAGGCACTGAGCACACGCAGCTGCCCTCTGAGCAAGGAGCTCAGCCAGGACCCATGTCCTGCTCCATCGCCCATCCTGCTACTCTGGTTTAAACAAACCACTGCTGCTCCTGTCCTTACACGCTTGTATTGCAGGGCTGCTCCCAGCTGTTTGCTTTTAGGTGCTGCGAGATGGGTGACAGTGTCTGATGTCGGAGGGAGGGTGGGGGAATGACACAGACCTGCTGAGACCAGGCAAAGGACACTGCTGCAGCTCCTCTCCAAAGGGCAGGAGGAACTGGGCATGCTGCAGGACAGCCTTAGGAGAGGGAAACGGCTTCAGAGAGTTCCACCTGTGCCTGTTCTGGCTCTCCTGTCACCTGCCACTGGTACCGCTGCAAAATGAGCTGAACACTCGCAGCTACAGGGTCCACTGTGACCCAAGTACAACACAGGGCAGTGGACCTGCCTGTGTCTGCAGACAGCCCTCCCCGTGCAGTGCCTGAGCTGCCTCCCCAGGCATGAACCCCAGCTACAAGGGCCAGAGCACCAGCCCAGTGCTCAGCAGGCAGGTGCTGCTCAGAGAAGCTCTGACCTGCTCACGGTCAGAAACCGGCATCCTTGTGCCACAGGCACGACTCGCACCTGCCCAGCAAGGAGACAAACCAGGACCCCAGCAGAGCTGGGAGCGAGCACCATGTTACGGTGCCTCCCAACCTGCTTGGCAGCTGACAAGCACTGCCCTGCTCTGGAACTGGGGACATCTCCGCTGGGAAACCGCTGCTGAGATGGAGGGGCAAGCGAGCTCGGTGTGTGGCCCCACGGGCTGCCTCCCACCGCCTGCCATGATGCTCCGATGCACTGACTGTGCCAGGTGTCCTTTCCCCCGCTGCGAGCCTGCAGGCACCCAAGGCCAGACCGAGCCCTCCTCTGCCTCCTGAGCCTGATGTCCAGCAGAAGCACCGTGGCCCTGCCCAAGAGCAGCCCAGAGCTCCTGCAGCGCTCTGTAACGGCGCAGCAAACAACCACCGGTATGCTCGGTTGGACACCGCGGGGAGCTGGGGTGAACTGCCTGCAGCACCAAGTGTGGGGCCACAGGTGCTGTGGGGCCACAGGGGATGAGCCCATGGGCACTGTGACCCGCTTACACGCGGTACTCCGTGCCTTTCCGTGAGCACCCCTGAGCTCCTCACAAGAACCTTTACTGAAATTAAAATCCCATCGTCTCCTGCTGGAGATGCACTCGCTGTTCTCTGCAAATTATGAGACACCTCAGATAGAGCCGCGCTTATCTGAGTTCAGAGAGACACGACAGTGGAAGACAGCGACTGCCCCTCTGACGGAGCCAGAGGTAAAACCCGACGGCAGAAGGGTGCTGATGCACCCCGAGCGGGGCTGCGGGGAGGGCAGCCATGCCGTCTCGCGGGCCAGTCATTCACTGGCGTTTTGGAGGCCCCTTCTCACGGGCAAGTGTTCCCTGTGATGGGATGGGAACCCCGTCACCGTCCCGGCTCCAGAGCCCGTTCCCGGCAGGGCTGGGACTCGGGCGGCTGCAGCCGCAGCGCTGGGGGGGGCTCCAGCAGCCATGTTCCCACGGAGCCAGCCCGACCCCACTCGGCCCCGCAGGAGGAGGAGGAGGAGGAAGAGGAGGGGGGAAAACTCCCCGAGTGCGGCCGGGCGACAGACTCCGCCGGCAGCACAAGGCCGCCCGCCCGG